TTTTTTTTTTTTTTTAGTACCGGGGATTGAACTCAGGACCTTTCACTTCCCAGGCAAGTGCTTATTCTACTGAGTTATCTCCCCAACCCAGTAGATAGTTTTGATTGGTGTGGTATACTTTCCAGATAGTGGATGGTAGCAGCACAAGCTCTAGTTATGCCCTTCAAAGTTTTCTTAGGTGGGCCTACTGGTTGATAAATTGTGCCAACTTGAGAAGTTTAGAAGTTTAATTAAGTGACTCAGCAGAGAGCCAGAATGCTTAGTTGCAAACATTCTCATCCTTTGCAAGAGGAGGGCATGCTCACATGGCTGGGCTCCCTTTCCTTCTCAGTAAAAGCCACGTCGTGTTTACGCCTTTTCTCTACACTCAAGTCTCACCAGGGCCACACTCAGCAGTCCTCCAGCTGCAGACAGAATTGCAGTGGTTTTAATAAATTTTAATCGATTTTTCTTCCAAAAAAAGAGGAGGGCATGGACCTTGTGTGAGTTCTACACCCCTAGCCTCAAGGGTAGCTTGTTTATAAGAATGGGAGGGAGGCTAGCTCAAAGCCTTATGGGCTGTCCTTCCCTTTGATCTTTGCTATTTTCTGCTGGCATGAACTGCTGCTGTTTGCCATGTGCCATTCTGCCTGGGAGCCAGCCAATTATTGACTGCAATCTCCACAAACTGTAAGCTAAATAAACCTTTCCTTCCTTAATTTTGGGTGTTGAGTACTTTGTCCTAGCAACAAGTAAAAACTGAGACAGCGGATCATTATTATAACCCATTGACCCATCATAATTAGGTCATATTATCATTTCCAGAAATGATACCAAAATATATTGACCCATCCACATTATTTCAGTTATGCTGGGAGGTAGATATAGCATTAAGATGTCTCTGGCACCAAAGCAACCTGAGTTCAAACCTTGTCTTTGTTACTTATTGTGGGACCTAACGCAAGTTACCAAAACTTCTTTAAACATGTTTATCCATAAAATAGGAGTGGTAGATAGTTCAAGATGGCCCTCCAGATTTTATGACCCCCCCATATATATTTACTGAATAATTCCCAGGGCCTGATAGGATCATAATGGATTTTATTCTCATGATATGGTTCTGCTACATAACACAGCTGCCCTTAACTTATGAATATTACCTGAATGGGCATGGCTTAAACACAAAAGGTCTTTAAAAGTAGAGAACACAAAGTGGGGGATTTGATCCCTAGCCCATGCAGTAGAAATTTTAAAAAAGAAAGCAGAGTATTTCCCAGCTGATCACAGATGAGACAGTCAGTGATTCAAAACAGAAAGGTTTATTCTATCATTGCTGGCTCTGAGATGCAGGGACCCACACGCAAGGACCAGGGAAGTCTCTAGGAGCTACAAGTAACAGCTCTCCCAGAAAATAGTGAGGAAACAAGAATCCCAATCCTAAAAGCACAGAGAAATAATTTCTGCCAATAATTATGCCACCAGAAACCCCCAGCCTTGTACAGTTCTAAGCACAAAAGGCCAGGTAGATGGTCTACACTGGACATGGCAGTTCACCTAGCATATCTGGCTGCTCTTTCCCCAATAATAGTCCTCCCCCAGTTCCTACAACAAAAATACTCCTGTACATTTCCAACTCCACCCCCCAAACACGCACCCACACAAAGGGTAGCTTTGGCTGAAGATACTAAGAACTACTATAAAGGAAATTTGGTAAGAAAGACTAGTTATCCTAAGTATTGTCATAAAGCTACCTCAGTAACTACAGTCCTATCCAAATTGCTTGATCATAGAACTACCAGGAACATTTGTTTAAAAATAATGTCTCTCAAATTTTTTGCCAAGAATCCCATTTTATAGACTTGCATGTCTACTTCTATCACCCTCCTTGTTTTATCTAAATTTGGAAAACACTAGATTAAAAATATCCTTGTCCATACATGCATTTCACAAAAGTTCACCATACTGAAACAGTAACCCCAAAACTTTGAAACTGTGCCTTCTATAGTGCTGTAAATCCTCCTTTGGGTTACTCTATTATACAAGATGTTCTGTAAGTCATACAAAGATCAAAAATGGGACTCCAGTCATGGAAGTAGGAATATTCTTTCAAAACTTTTTTTTTAACCAGAATTATTCCTTGAAATGATATACACTTTACAAGTGTAAAGTAGCACTTGTTTATTTATTGTGCAGTACTGGGAATTGAACTCAGGACCCTGCACTTGCCAGGCAGGCACTTACTCTACTGAGCCATCTCCCCAGCCTCATATTATTTTTTATAAATATTTCTTAGATTTCTACCAAAGACTCACGCACACTCTTCTATGTGGAATAAAAATTTCCATGCCTTAAATTCTGTGTTTAAACTATTACCTGTGACTTGTTTAGATAGCAGTTTGCTCCAACCCAGCCCTCTTCTTTTTTTTTCCTAATTCCGCTCTCAGGCGCTCTGCTATGGATTTCTTCCAACCGCGGGAGGATCTGTCGGCTACTGTAGACCTGAATGCCATCGCCCACGAGCCTGGGAACCAAAATATGGTATCAACCCGTCAGTGATATTTTGTTCGTTTTCCAAATTTCTGCCTACAAATATGCTCTAAGGCACTGCTCCACCAGTAAGTACTCGTCCTCTTTGAATCTCCACCCCCTCACTAACGTGGGCGCCTCAAGATTAAGCATAATTGTGCCTCACAGACTCTGTCTGGCGTTACTTTCGGTTCCTTTTGCTCTGAGCACCCTTAACTTCAGCGGAATAATAATGAGCATTAGGCTGGGGCTGACCCAAACATTTCCCTTCCTTAATAGGACGGAACTGAAGTAAAACCCCCCAGGCTGTTAACACACGACCTCCCAGTTACCACAGTAGAGCCGCCGCCGCCATTTTTATCGTGGCCAACTAATATTTGCGTCAGCCTAAAGGAAAACTAGTAAGGAATTCTGCGGAAAGATATCCTTCATGTTAGCTTGGCCCCATCCGAATCCCACTTGGAACGGAGTTTGGCCCTCGGGGTAAGGGCGAGTCCCGCTCCCGAAAGCCACGATCGCAGAAGGCGAGACGGCGCTGGGCGGGCGGGACAGCGCTTCCGGGTCCCGCGCTACGGAAGCGCGGTGGGGGCCGGCGCCTCGCGCGCGGCGGAAGTGTGTTTCGGGGCACCGGAAGCCACTGCAGAGAGCAATGGCGGGATTGACTGTGAGGGACCCTGCTGTGGATCGTTCTCTACGTTCTGTATTCGGTGAGAGGCATTCGGTGAAACCAAGCAACAGGGAGGGACAGAGAGAGGCAGGGAGTATCGAGGAACGCCCTCTCGCACCTCCCTTTAAAGTCGCCACGAAAGCCGGCGACGGAGCGGGCTGGCAGTTTTCCCTGGCTGTCCAATGGGTCGGCCAACCTCGTGGGCAAAGAAATGCTTCTCTTCCTCTGAGGCCTCTGAGCTTTTCCGCAATATCACCAAGACAGTTAAAGGAGTGTTCGCCATCTATTCATTACTCCTTTCTGATCTTCTGTTATTTTTTAGAGGAAAGGACGCATGAGAACAGCGCCTCGCTGTTCCTCGCTAGTACAGTACGTCTTACCCCCAGTGTACGTGTCCCGGTGCCCAGTTTCTGCAATCTCATAAGGATTTACATCCTTTGCTTTTAACCCGTAACGTTTTAGTTTATCTATAGTCGTAGCGGGCATGTGGCTTCTAGGTGAGCTGCCAATAAATCAATGAATGATTTAATACCCTGTTAGAGGAATTTTAGAGAGGATTTAAACTATTGTAAGTAGTCTTGGCTAGAATTCATTGTTTTTAAAATGTGGTTTTAAAAGCATCCTTCAAAGAGAGACATGACAAAACAATAAATTGTAAACACCCTCCTCAGTGCCCATTGTTTTCTTCCATGTACTTGTGTAGAATTGTGGATATATAACGTGTTTTAAAAGTTATATTTTTAGTCATCGCTGACAGAGGTAAATACCAAGGTATACTTACTTACTTTAATCAGAGTTAAGGGAAATCTACGACTTGTCAGATCCACAGAACTCTTTCAGACTTGCATCTATCCCTTTGGTACTTTATCTCAGTCGTTTATTTCCGTTTTTAAGAGATCAGAAGAGATCAAATCAAAGTGGGTTTTGGAGAACACTATTTTGAGCCAGTTATTACATATTCAGTAATGTAAGTAGATACTCTGTTTACTTTCTCACTAAGGATCTATGTGTTATCTATTCCTTAGTGGGTAACATTCCTTATGAAGCTACTGAAGAGCAGTTGAAGGACATCTTTTCTGAGGTTGGACCTGTTGTTAGTTTCAGGTGAGATCTTCTACTTCTTGGTGGGAGATTCTTAAAAATCAATGCAAATTTGACCTGTAGCAGTAATGACAAGGGTTTTGTTTTTCTTTTTAATGATGACTTTTCACATGCATTTTGTTAACTGCTTTATTGATATAATTCATATAAGCCATTCACATTCATTCTTCCCTAAAAGGTTTTTTCATTAAAACGTTTTTTAAAATAGTTCAGTGAGGCATCTGAGTTATAAAGTTAGTTTTCTTACAGGGAACCAAATTAGAGCCTGACAGTGTTAACAGGAACTTTGTATAGAATGTGTGTGTAGCATTTGTGCCTAATAGTTGATTTTGCTCTCCAGATTGGTATATGATAGAGAGACAGGAAAACCAAAGGGTTATGGCTTCTGTGAATACCAAGACCAAGAGACAGCTCTTAGTGCCATGCGGAACCTGAATGGACGTGAATTCAGTGGGAGAGCACTTCGAGTTGACAATGCTGCCAGTGAAAAGAACAAAGAAGAGCTGAAGAGTGAGTATAAACCCAAGTTGTATCCATTATGAGTTAGTAGAGATGGATCAATAAAAATTTTCATGTTTTAGAATGTAACACACAGCTTCTTTACTTGGCTAGTCTGAGATGCTTGAGTTGGGGAAGTAGTATCTTTAAGGAATAAGGTAATGTTGACTTTAGGAGAAATCCTTTTGTTTTGCTGAGTTGATTTCCACTTGGATGAATTGATTTCTACCAAAGTATACTGCTTACATTATTAATTACTCCTGTGACCGTATTGCCAAATCTGCAGCTGGTAAGGACGGGTACTAAGACATTTTTATGGCTTTTTTTCATGAGGCAATAGATCCAGAAGTTCTGTCTTAAATTGAGCAGCTTTGTGTATTTAAACTCTTTTCTTCTTAAATGACTTGTTAAAAGAGGTCAGTATCTTGGTTCTCTAACTTTGGATAATATTGTCCATCTGTGTGACCATAGTGCCAACTTTCCTCTAAGAACAGAAAATACATTCTCTTTTTTCTTCTCCAAAATGAGGTCTTCAGATGATTTCTCAGCTCCAGAGAATTTTAAATTATCAGTTGGTGCTTTTTTTTTTTTTTGGCAAAACCAGGGATTGAACTCAGGCCCTTGCGCTTACCAGAGAAGTGATTATTCTACTGCACCATCTCCCCGTCCCCCTCAATTAGTGCTTAAAGGCAGCCTTAAAAAATAGATACTTGAAGTGATGTAGTTTTTTATTTTGCCTGCCTAATTTTCTTATACTTTTTTCCTGCTTAGGCCTTGGCACTGGTGCCCCTGTCATTGAGTCACCTTATGGAGAGACGATCAGTCCTGAAGATGCCCCTGAGTCCATTAGCAAAGCAGTTGCCAGTCTTCCACCAGAGCAGATGTTTGAGCTGATGAAACAAATGAAGGTGGGAGGAGGCTATAGGTTATAAATAAGGCAATTCACATTAGAATTCCAAGAAGTTCTGGATAACTTATGATGAATTCATGCATCTAGTTCCTTCAATGCAAAAAGAAGTGTGTGTAGATAAGCATTTCTTTTTTTTTAAAGATTTTTTTTAAATTTTATTTATTTATTTATGTGTGTGTGTGTGTGTGTGTGTGGCCAGCTCAGCCCACCAGGGGGCGGGGCGGGCTGGCATGTGGTGCTGGGGGATTGAACCGTGGTCCCTGTGCTTTGCTAAGCTTGTTCTAAGTAGGTGCTCTAGACCACTGAGCCATCTCACCAGCCCCTAGATAAGCATTTCTTGTACTTTCAATATTCTATGTGTGCACGGTGTATTTTTTATTTTGTTTTGTCTTTTGAGATGGTCTCGCTATGCAGTTCAGGTTGACCTTGAGCTCACTTTGTAACCTCGGTGGCCTCAAGCTCACAGTGATCCTCCTGCCTCAGCCTCCAGAGTGTTGGGATTACAGGAAAGCACCAACATACCCAGTTTACAGTGTATTTTTTTTTACACAAATAGACCTCCATAAACAATTTAGCTGAGGTTAAAAGCCTCTGGAATATTGTATCTCTAAGATGAAAATGGCTATAAATCGTAATTGTTAAGTAATAGGTATTGTACCTGAAAATACATCTGCTTTGATTCTCAGCTCTGTGTCCAGAATAGTCCCCAGGAAGCACGGAACATGTTGCTGCAGAACCCACAGCTGGCTTATGCTTTGCTGCAGGCACAGGTAGTGATGAGAATTGTGGATCCAGAGATTGCCCTGGTGAGTGCTTCCCATCTTTTATGGAAATGGTAGGGTAAACTTTGAACAGGATAGGAGCTCCCTGATTGCCTTGTTTAACTGATTGCTCATTGGTTTATCTTTTTACCTTTTAGAAAATTCTGCATCGCCAAACCAATATCCCAACACTGATTACGGGCAATCCTCAACAAGTCCATGGCGCTGGGCCTGGTTCAGGAGCCAATGTATCAGTGAATCAACAGAATCCTCAAGCCCCTCAGGGCCAGGCTTTGGTAGGGATTTATCCCCTAATATTTCTTTTATATGTCTTCGAATACAATTTTCTGTTTGGGAAACTATATTCAAAGAAGAATGATCAGAAATCAGAGATGATAATTTGCATTTTGAGGCAAAAAAAAGCAGTTTCTGGTTGTAGAGCACATGGCATCTGAATGAACACAGATTCCATTGCAAGCTTTTAAATCAAAGAAAAGCTTTCTACACATTCTTTTACTATAGGCTAACTTTGTTTTATATGCATGCCTGGCTCTCCATTATTCTATAACATCATCTCATTTAATCCTCACAGAAATGTGAGGTAAGCGTTCTTATCATTGTTTTCACCAATGAAAAAGTAAAGCTCAGTGTCCAAGCATGACACAAAGTGGGAAAGCCATAAAAATATTAACACATTTATTTTTTTTTCCTTTTGAAACAGGATCTTGTAGTGTAGTTGGGGCTGGTCTTGAGCTCACTGGGTGGCTCAGGCTGGCTTCGAACTCATGGTGATTCTCATGCCTCAGCTTCCTGAGTGCTGGGATCACAGGTGCGTGCCACCACGCCCAGCTAGTATATGTAAAAACTGAAAGTTTTGTATATGGAGAACGAAAGGCAAAATGAACACCAAAGGCAAATGACAAAATGAAAAAGAGTATTTGCCACACATATGATAGACAAGAGGCTCCATTTTAACTGTATTCACATAATTAATCACATGGTATATATTGCAGTTTGCAATAAGTATATGAGTGATAAATCTGATGCATATGAGATATACTGTTTAAAAAGGGTGCTTGTTATACTATTTGGGATTGCCAATTTTGAAATGACTTTTGAGTCCTAGACTTAATGTTTTGTGTCTGTACAGAGGCATGTTCATATTTTTCTCTTGGTCAGGGTGGAATGCATGTCAATGGCGCGCCTCCACTGATGCAAGCTTCCATGCAAGGTGGGGTTCCAGCACCAGGGCAGATCCCAGCTGCTGTAACAGGACCTGGCCCTGGTTCCTTAGCTCCTGGAGGTAAGTTTCATTTAGACTCTTCACCATTTTGTTACTTTGGTAAAGTATTGTCTTAGCAACTGCTACAGTGCTGCCAAATTATATAATAAGATCTTGGTATCAAATTAGTGTATATCTAGAAAGTGTACATCCTAGGTAGGATAAATAGGTTAGTTCTTCGATACACATTCTGTTATGTCTTATGATAGTAGGATAATAGACAGTGCAAAAGTACAGTAAATCTTCCAAATTAAAGAGGGAGATAATGGAATGAGTAGAAATTAATAAAACCAGGAAAAATGGAAAAGATAATATAAAATAAGTGAGAAGTGTAGACTAACATGGAGGGAATAAAAACTATAGTCTTTATTCCATTAAATGTGAATGAACTGAATTCTCCCATTAAAAGCCAGACACTATTAAATTAGGTTAAAACTTACAAAGAAAACTAGCATAAAACACATAAAGTTGCATTTCAATAAATACAATCAAACCGAGCAACAAAAAACAGGAAATTTAATAACACATTCTTTGAAAGCATGAAGGGTAGGCAACAAATAGAGTACTGCTATTACACTTGTAAATTTTCATTGTTCAGCAATTAAAATGAATTCCTCATGTGAATCACCTCTACACATGGTGGAGTACCAGTTTTTACATTTTTATGCAAATTTAGTAGTTTTAACCTGGGTTAGATTGATAGCAACACTACTCATAGAAGATAATTCAAATCTAAATTCTTCTGTTTTATAGAGAAACTAGTTGACAGCTGTGGACAAAAAATAGACTTTCAAAGAAATTTTAGCAAACACAATTTTCCTTTATTCACTTTATCAATATAGTTATATTATCTTCATGAAATAAATATTTTCTGTATTTTATGTTTCTAAGTTACAGGTGACTTGCTTACCTTAAAATACCATCACAAGTTCTACTGTGGTCCTACTGCATGTGACAAGTATACAAGTATGCATGACAAGTATGTTACAGGCTTATTACATGTGTTAACATTCAGACTGATCTGCATGTCGAGTGCCTTGATCATACACTGAAGTGTCCAAACAATGTCATTTGATATGGAAGTTTTTAAATGTCTGCACTGCATAGCTGTACTTACCTTGTTATAAATTAACATGGGATATAGATAAGCACCATCTATGGATCACACTTTGAGTAGCATTGTGCTAGTAAACAGCAAATAAATGTGCATACTGAGGGATTAAATAATAGAATCGATAGGTTCCGGACCAGGGAGATGGCTCAGTAGAATAAGCGCTTGCCTGGCAAGCACAGGGTCATGAGTTCAATCTCTGGTACCGCAAAAAAAAAAAATCAACAGGTTCCACTTAATATATTGTTAGTATATGGTGAATCCCTTACATCTTAGCTCTGGCATATACTACTCACCCCAAATGACCACAGAACAGTTTACAAAAATAAAAAAGGCCATGTACTTAGCCACAAATTAAAACTTTCAACAGATTTTAAAAAGTGGAAATTATAAGTCCATAAGATTAGAAACATAATTAAAGGCAACTGGGAAAATTCTTTACTTAGGAAATTGAAGGCCAATCTATAGTCTTTGAACTAAAAAGGAAGTAAAGATTATAAAGTATGTAAAGGAAAAAGGAAAGTATGTACTCCATAGAAAAAAGTATAGGAAACAGTGAAGGCAATGCTTAAAGGAAAAATGAGTATTAAATACCTGTATTAAAAAAATAAAGGCAGTCTAATTAGTTGTAAGGAATCAGAAAAGTCATAAACTAGAAACACCAAGAAGAGGAAATTAACATAGTAAAATTTGAATGTAAGTGTAAACTTAAATATACGTTTAAATGATAATTTTTGAGTTTGTAGCATTTATACTGCTGCATTTGTAATCTACTATTTTTGTGGTTTTTGCAAGGTAGCCTTGACCTTATGTATGTATCCTTATGTGTTCCAGGTTGGCCTTGAAAAGGCCATTTTCCTCCCTTAACCTTACAGGAATGCTGGGATTATAGGAGTGTGCCACCACGGCTATGCTTCTGAATTTATTTATTTTTTCAAAATTTATTTATTTATTTTATTTTATTTAAGACCATTATTAACTGGTGCTTGCAGTTTGTTGACTTTTTTTTCTGAACCGGGGATTGAACTCAGGCCCTTGTGCTTGCCAGGCAAGCACTTAATTCTACTGAGCTAAATCCCCAGCCCCTTGTTGATTTTTTTGAAAAAAAATCAAGTTGTAAACTTTTAAATTAAGAATGAAGTTCCTAAAAAATCTCAACTTTGCCAGCTATGAAACAATTTAAAAACCTTTAAAGGTTTGTTGAGAAAAACCAGGCTTTTTTAAAAAACACGTTTGTCATTACCAAAAAGGGATGTCTTTAGGTAAAAATAATAAAAACCCCATGCTGCATAGATAATGCAGATAGTTCTAGTTATCTGGTCAATGGGCAGAAAGCAAGCAGTTAAGGTCTTCAGTTCCAATCTTTTGTTCATTTCATATATATATATATATATATATATATATATATATGTAAACCAGTCAGGTATTTTCCTATTGTTCTGTCTTTCTAATCCCTACCTTTCAAAGAAAGTCACTTTATTTATTTATTTATTTAGGCAGAACCAGAGATTGAACTAGGGCCCTTGTGCTTGCCAGGAAAGCACTTATTCTACTGAGCCATCTCCCCGGCCCCTGTTCATTTCTTATTGCTGGAATTTCCTATTGGTTTCATTCTTTTTTTTTAAATTTTTTTAAATTTATTTTTGTGTGTGTGTTTGGCCAGCTCAGCCCAGCAGGGGGCAGGGCTGGCTGGCATGTGGTGCTGGGGGATTGAACCGCGGTCCCTATGCTTTGCTAAGCTTGTTCTAAGTAGGTGCTTTAGACCACTGAGCCATCTCACCAGCCCTGGTTTCATTCTTGCTGGATGACTAAACTGGATTATGGTAGAGATGTTTAGCCAGCATTTACTCAGCCCCGCCCTGCTCAGCCTCAGGAGCCAGTGGACAAATTCTCAGCTGGTGGATGGGCTGCTTTTGTCTTGAACTTATTTTGTACCCCAGACTGGCCTCAGACTCCCAACTGCTGGGATTATAGGCATGTGCCACCACTCCCCGCTCTGAATTTATTAAAATTTAAAACTTCAAGAATATTTTTGAGTTATGCTGTACACAGCTCTTTGACAACTGATGAGAATGGGGAAAGTAACCTAGTAAAAATATGGGCAAAGAAAATTTGCAAGAATTTCATGGAAGAGCAGCACCAAATGGCCAATATAAACAGATTTACTTACAGATAGGGGATTACAAATTAAATAATAATGAGAGTGCATGAAAATCCATCAGGCAGGCAAGTCTCAAAGACAGATGATCTTTACAGAGTAAGTGGTGCTTGTACATTGCTGATAGAATTGTGAAGTTCTTCCACCTTTCAAGAAAGGGATCTAAAAATAATAAATAAAATAAATAGAAAGGGATCTAACATTGAAAATTAATACACAGTTTGTCCCACAAATTCTACTTCTGACACTAAAATATACAAAAAGTGCTACTATACAATGATGTATAGTATAAGAAATTGTGTGGGCC